ATTTTCATGCCTGCTAAAAAAGGATCTTAATGGAGGGAACACTGACTGAACCGAAAGAGCGCTTAATTAAGGTCGACACTATTGTTAATTGTTAGTGCTATAACAGATGTTGGGACACAGCGTTCTACAGTTTCCTCTCTCACTAGTTGCCAAGTTTCAAGCCAGAATCTTTAATTTCTCTCTCCTCTGACGCAACAATTTCTTCACAAATTATCACTCTGACGACGACCCCCAGTTTCCACGTTGCAGTCAGCATTACATGGGGACAAAATTTGTGGCCAATGTTTGTAGGTAAAGACATTACCTTTTATAAGGTTGCGTCGGTACCCGATTGTTCTCATGCCTCATGAGAGTGACAAACAGATACACGCAATTATAAGTTTCAGAATTAGGACTGTTACTCTCAAAAAATAGCGAAACGTCACCTCCTTCAGCTAGCTTATTGAATTGCAGTTTAGCTCTTTGATCACGATCATATAAAGGTAAAACTTTGGTTCTCTATACTGTCTTTGCTTCTTTTTGATGTCAGTCTGGGTTGGTTTTTAGGTATTTGTCTTCATTACTCAGGTTTTGAATGGTTTGAATTATTCTTGCTTGTTTCTTTTATGTGTTTTAATGATCCCCTGAGTTTCGTTGGTGTTCGATCATGTGCGTTTCTCTTCTTAATCTCTTCTGTAGTCTATTTAATCTCTCTGAGATGATCAATCTGACCTGGTAGTTCTGAGCTTTCTCAATTTAAGCCGAAGTGCTCGATACGTGTCGTACAAATATAAAACTTCTATCTTTTCTCAGTGGAAGGTGAAATAGAAGCTCTGTTATTGCTTTTTTTGATGCAGACCTGGGTTGGGTTTTCAGGTATTTATTTTCCTTGCTCTAGTTTTGAATGATATGAGTTGCTTTTTGCTTATTTCTTTTTCTTTTTCTTTTTTTTTTTTCCCCGGCGATCCCCCTAGTTTCATTGATGATTGATCATGTGCTTTTTCCCTCCTTTAGTTTTTCTGACCCCTTCGATCCCTTTCTGGTAGAAACAGTTCATGATTGAAGCCAACACATTCGATTATGGTTCTTTATATGGCAAAATTTCTTCTTATAGCCTTTTTGTACACTAGTTATGGATATTTTTTCGTAGGTTTGGGGTATTTCATCTTCCTTACTCTTGTTCTGAATAATATGAACTGATTCTTGCTTGTGTGTGTGGGTGATTAATTACGTTCTTTTCCCATACTTTTTTGGTCTGTGTAATGTCTTATTTAGAATCCATCTTGAGCTGCTATTTTTAAACTTTTGAGTCAATTTTCTTGTTATTTGAAAGGCTGCAGTTTCTAGACTCGGAGGTGTAGGATATTCCAAGTTATTGTGCAGGTTTTCCTTGGCTCTCATGTTGTGTTTCTTGGTATAAACCAGAAATATGTCTCATTCGCAGGTTCTTTTCACGGGATTGAGATGATGGAGGATGGTGATGATGACGATCCATGATCTCTCCTTCTGTCTTGACGAATAAAACAACCAAGGATTCTTGAATATGACGGTGAGAGGGAAGACAGATATAAATCCAATTCTACTGAAAGTTGGTGTGGCTTTAGTTTTTTCAGTTGCTGGATTTCTCTTCTCTCGCCTAAGAACAAGAAGAATGAAGCCCTCTACTACTCCACCCTCAAGCCGCCCTTCAGGTTTGTTTGTTTTTTCTCCCCTCTAAACTTCAATATTCCTGTCTCTTTCCCTCTCCCTCCTGGATTTGATTTGAATGATGAACACATTTTTTAGGTGGTAGAGATCAATACGAAGATGGTCTTCATGTTATAAAGGCAGCATCTATTCCTTGCTTCACTGTTTCGGATGGACATATTCTGGATACTGTGAGTAATAGAAAATACTCCAGAATGTTTGCTGAACTTTACTTTTGGTATTGATATTGAATTATTGATAGACTGGTGAACTTCTTTCCAGATACCAAACAATTGGCTCATCTTCTGCATGATTAGTAGGAATTCAAGCCATTTCCAATTTTAGAAAATAATCTTTTCCGTTGATTTCCCCTTGATTTCATATTCAAAATGGAAATACTCGTCAACTGTTCTGAAGTTTTTGGCGACATCTTTTTCATATCAGTTATATAGAAATCTTTCAGGAGCTGTGAAAAGAAACTTGTGTAGGAAGCTAGGGGTATTTTTCTTACTGCCAATTTATTTCCAACTGGAACGCCCTCTGTTTCAATCATTTTGTCTCCGAATTTTTTCCTTGGTGACAATTTTTATCATCTGCAGAAAAAATATTGAAAATGGCTATAAACTGCTATGCACGTATACATTTGTCAATAAAATTTTATTGCCAAAGAAAGTAGCATTCATGCAAAAACTTCCCTACAAAACTTTAGAGAAATGAATAATTCCAGTTATTCCATGCATTTAGAACTGGAATTTTGTGCATCACTACTTGACTAAAACAAGGAAATAATGACAAATATCTATGCAGCAAGAAGAAACGTGCGTCAGTAAAGTGATGGTTGAGAATTCCCCATCTGGTCTCTCTCCAAGCTGTAAAAGAAGTGGTGAAGAAGATGAATTCCTCTTACCTGAGTTTAATGATCTTGAGAAGGAGTTAGACTTTGGAGTCACTCTTGTTGGAGATTCTTATAAGAAAGATGAAGAAACACCAAGATCAATGGTAGAATCTCCTAAAGCACACGTAATTCCACAAAAGGATGACTATGAGGAAGAGATCCTGCGTCTCAGGAGCAAAATTGAAATGCTTCAGGAGAGGGAAAAAGATCTTGAGGTTCAACTGCTTGAGTACTGTGGTCTGAGAGAGCAAGAAAAAGCTGCGATGGAGCTCCAAAATCGATTGAAGATAACCATTACAGAGATGAAGATGTTAAATCTAAAGGTTGAGACATTGCAGTCTGAGAACCTGGCATTGGAGGCTCAAGTGGCTAATCATGCTAAAGTGGAGGCTGAGCTTGAGGCTGCTAAAGCCAAAGTCCAACTGCTCCAGAAGAAACTTAGGCTCGAAGCTGAACAGAATAGGGAACAGATCTTAGCCCTTCAAAAAAGAGTTGCTAAGTTGCAAGAGCAAGAAAGAGAAGTTGCTGCTAGTGATCAAGGTATTCAAGAAAAACTGCAAAAACTAAAGGATCTGGAGTCTGAGGCAGAAGAGTTGAGGAAATCTAATTTGAGATTGCAGATAGAAAATTCTGAATTGGCTCAGAGATTGGATTCTACTCAGATCCTTGCGAATTCTGTTCTGGAAAAACCTGAGGTAATAAGATTATGGTCGACCTACATCCTTTAGTTATCGTGGAATGTAGTTTTACCTGACAGTCATATATACTTTTGGATGCAGGTAGATGCTTTGAAGGAAGAAAATGACCGTCTTAGACAACAGAATGAGGACTTAATGAAGGAAACTGAGCGACTACAAGCTGATCGGTGTTTAGATGTTGAGGAGTTGGTGTATCTGCGGTGGATAAATGCCTGTCTAAGATATGAACTGCGGAATTATCAACCTCCACCTGGTAAAACGGTAGCAAGGGATCTAAGCAAAACCTTGAGCCCTGCGTCTGAGAAGAAAGCCAAGCAGCTTATATTTGAATATGCGACTACTGATGGCATAGGGGAAGGAGGAGTTCCCATGATAGACTATGATTCAGATCGGTGGTCCTTCCTCTCCCTGGCTTCTTTTCTCACAGACTCTGCAGAGTGTGATGATAATTCTTCTGTTGATGATTCATCTGCTGCCAAAACTAACACCTCAAGCAAGGCTAAAATTTTCAGAAAGCTTAGACGGTTGCTACGAGGCAAACATGGCCACGATCATCATCAAGAAGGTAGCGAATTTTCACATTTTAGTCCCAGCATTGTAACAGAAAATGATGCTGGAGCTGTAGGTCACTGGAATGAATTTGCAACTCCCACTTGGACATCTAGAACTTCCTTTGATTCGCATGGGGCGACAAAGTTAAAGGAGAAAAAGGGGAAAATGAGGAATAGCATTGAAGTAGGAGGATCAGAGAGATTCATTCATAGCAAGTTAGGTTTGGGAGATTTAAAAAACCGACTTGGCTCTTTGCCAGATTCCTTAGACACAGCGAAAGCCGAGTTGGTGAAGTATGCGGAAGCTTTAAAAGGCCCTGGTGTTAGTGCCCCGGACAAGTTGCATAAGAGATCAGCATCATATCTATAGTTCATTTTAACTTACAAAAGTATAGCAGGTCCCTTTTTCATTTTTCAAACACCTCGTCATCAAGTGAAGATTTTGGATTAACAGGGTATACAGAAGTAAATGCTCATGTATCATATGGGCCGTTAGGATCTATTCAGAGGCTAACGGTCTTATAAATAAGAGTGTACTCTCAATCATGGGTTACCATGCATCATTATATACCAATATTAATCTGGGAGTTCAGAGGAAATAATAAGCTCCCTTTTTGAGCATAAAATTCTGTTCCCCTCCCCCCCCCCCCCAAAAAAAAAGGGAAGAGAGCCCTATCTGCTTTCATCTCATTGAAACGTGGAAGGCCATTTCGTTTCGTAAGGAAAGCATTTAAAAAAACTGTTAAATTTACAATGGAGAAAACTGATGGTACTTGACCCAAAAAAAGTGGGACGATTGGAAATTTGCGTGTGATTAATTGTTCTCTTCAGTTTACGGTGAAGAGTCATGGAAGAAGTCGTTGCAGAGGCATATATGCCGGCTGGCCTCAAGACCTTACTATAATTCCCTACTCCGATTGATCAGTATTATCCAAAACTCAAATGAACATTTGTGTTTATATTACGCTTGTGATTCCCTGGGAAGATTGTTTCTTCTTTTCATTTCTTTGGTCAATAATTATTAATGAGCAAGTGAAAAACGTCTGTTTATTTCCTATTAGTTATTCTTGTCGAAAGAAAGCAAACTGCGATTTGCAATTTTCGTTTTTAATCAGCAATTTTTTCTTCTGTTTTCTGATGGTATAAGCTACTAGATTGAGGGGGAAAAACAGTACAAGAAAGAACCATCTCTTTGGAGATAATGTATAGAAATTCTTATTTCTTAAATGTGAAATAAAAATCAGAACATAAATTGCAATCTGCTTTTAGAACTGCTCACAATCTCTTGCAATGTAACAAGTCGTGCCCTTTATGGCTTCATAACAGAAGGAGCCTCCAAATGAGTACATTTATCAGAAACATTAAGACAATATAATAAATAAATTACATAACTGTCTGCTTCACTTTCATGAGAAATAGTGGTGTGCAAGTAAGTCTTATAGAGATCAAGGTAGTCACTAATAAGTGCTTATGAGATGAGGGCTATGCCTTGAACAATTAGGGCATCGGCTAGAACCTGGTTAGCAGCTTGAGAAGGATGAACGCTGTCCCAAAACACATACTGGGTAGCATTAGAACAAGTCCCTGGTGATTTTGGATTGCACAATAATGATGTTGTCTCTACAGTTCCAGTCCCGCAGCAACCTCTTCTTGCCTCCACAAAACCTGCCAGTATCACAAGTGTAAACAGAAAAATCAGATAATTTTCATCATATTTTTTTTTTTCAGAGAAAGGAGAAAAAGATTTTTGTGGTTAGTTTTTATTCTTGGTGTAGCTGTTATGTATACCGTATTTTGAAGGTGACTGGACAAGGTCATTGAGAGGCTTGAAAATATCAAAGATAACTATCTTGAGACCAGGAAGCTGCTTTTGGAGATTTGCTGCGGCAGAGCTGATCTTTTTGTTAAATGCTTGTGCATCTGTATTTATCCTTGAGACACATCCATTCTCATGATATCCAAACAGAGTTCTTGCAGCAGGTAAGCAACCCAATGGAGGGAGTGAGGTCACTCCAATTTTCCTAGCTCCCAATCCATACAAGTCCTATGTTTCAAACAGAGCAGAGAATCAGAGAGATTCTAGGCAGAATCCTTCTAGAAACAATAAGATCAATAAAATTATACACAAGTATGTCACAGATTAGTTGCAAAGAGAACTACAAACAATGCATAATGATGGATCTGTTCTATTTGAGAATTTTGTTATCGAATCATATATATGCAAGTCTGCTTATGCCTTTAATCTGTCCAAATAATTTGTTCTGGTGTATAGTGGAGAAAAAATAACCAAAATACCTTGATGAAGCTCTGAAATGATCCCAAAAGGTATGAACCATACTGATCTGGAGTGAAGGCTTTGTTGATCCAAGGATTGACATAGTAATTTTGAACAAAGTCACTGCTTCCAGCACTCAATAAGTACAATGCACCCTTTATAATTGATGCTGCCTTTTGATTTCCAGCAACTTTGTTCAGCTTGCTTTGGTATTCCTTGAAGTAGTTTAATTGTTGAGACAATGGGATTGCATGCTGCAAGAACAAAAAAATGAGTGAACATGCTTTTTCTTAAGCCATATTCAAAATTTTCCGGTTCAAAACTTACATTCAAAATAGCAGCTTTCTCATCATAACCAGAGGCAGCTGAAGCAAAATTTGCTCCCAAAAGAAGATTCTTCCCTGACGCCTGTGGGCTAAGATATGCAGGTGGATAGCTCTTGAATCCCAGAGTTTCAGCTGCAAAAAAGGAAAAATCTCAACAATGATCAAGCTTTCTCTTCACTTTCGTATTTTTTTTTTTGCCACCTGAATGCTTTTTCATTATAAAATTTTTTTACTGGACCTAGACATTAGCTCATGGTGAGCTTTGACGATGATGTTGACTCTCATGGTAAATGACAGTAACGATAACAAACTTCCTTATAAAGAATTTCCCCCTTTCAAAACGCGTAGTAAAGTTTAGGTTCAGGGAGAATATGTTTTCGACAAAAACTAGCAGGAAAGCATTTAACAGCAAATTTTTCCATGGGAAAAATTTTTCAAGGAAACAAATGGATCCGTGAATAAAATTCCAAGGTTGATGCTTTGCACTTACCGGTAATATCAGTAGCTAATTTTCCATTGCAAAACCTTCCAGTGGGTTGATGGTTGACAAAATCTCTTCCATAGGGAGGGTAATCTGCCTTAAAAAGAGTGGGCAAATAGTCATTATTTCCCACATCAACTGCAGAATCACCAAAGGTTATGATAGCAGGCACAAGTGTATCTTGTGCATTCCCTCTTGTTAGGAAGAAAAATGCTAAGATCAGAATAAGTGTTTCTCTATGACTGGTCTTCATCTTCCCAGTTTTCTCTTTGCTAGCAAGGAGCTTCAATGGAGGGTCTTAACTGGGTAATAGATCCTTATATGGCAGCTGAAAGAGACCATAATTGAAGTGGGGAAGATGGGAGTTGAGAACGTCCATTAAATGCTTCATCAAACAGTCATGTCTGCATTAATGGTGAACGAATTCTATTCAGTTCTATTCCTTGCCTATGGTGTATTCTTCCATCCTATTTCTGATACTATATGGTCATTATTGCTCGTATCTATCCTTTTTAACACAAAGAAATCAACTTTACGGCTTAATTTAGTCCGTTCATTTACTATGGTGAAGCTGAGTAGTTGAATATTTCGAGTGTAAAAGCTGGCATTGTAACCTTGGACTTGGTCATCAGTGAGCTTGCATGTGCAGGATTTATTTCGGTTGTTGCACGCAGAAGTTGACTACTGGTGAGGAGTGACAAGTTGGCATGAACATATCTAGTGACACCTATTTTTTTAAATGATCTAATTGAATCTCGAATCATCATTAATATTCAAATAAATTACTTATATAGTAAGAAAATCCCCTCTATAAAATTTTTTTACTACCTTCTGTAAAAAATATAATATGCACTTTGTAGTGTAAATTATACTATAAAGTAAATCTTATATTTAGGACTAGTATTTTTTATCAATATAATAACTACTTATGTAAAATGTATTTTTTCTCAAAATAAATTAGTTAGGTGTCTTAATTATCATTTTAAGAATGAATTTATAGTTTGAAGTTTAAATCCAATCAGTCTCATAAGCTTACACAGGAAATCGACAAAATGTAAATGGCAGAGAAGACTTTTGCAATATTTATCAAAGGTGGAGAAAGCCAAATGACATTTATGGAGATCAGAGGAGTGGCAAGTACAATAAAGTTAACCATATTAAAAAAAGTTAATAAAATTTAATTGCTCATATTATTTTTGTTATGAAGTTATGAACTTCCTGTTTAGAAGAAAAATATAAGAACAGTACTACCACGGAGGATGTCTTTGGATTTCCTGCAAAAGAAAGGTGAATACATGTATTCCTTATTCCTATCCGGAAAGAATTTTTTATTCGCTTTGTTGGAGACTGTAATTTTTTTTTTTTAATATGTCGATCTTAGAAATATACTCTCACATTCATATCAACTTGATGAATATAGAAGTTGTCTGAATCAACTTCCTCGATCTAACTGTCTTGTTATATAGCTTTAGCTTGTGGCTATATTTAAACACAACCCTTTTTTTTTTTTGGGTCTAGTTTACGATATTCCCTTTCCATCTTGATGACCATTACCAGATTCACAAGCCAGAAAGGGACTTAGCCAAAGAACCAAACTTTATATGTCTGGTTAAGCTTAAACCTTCCAGAGTCCTTAACAAAAGAAGTTGGTTATATGTTACCATCAGCATTTACTGCTAATGAACTTTAAAGATGCCAGATGGGACATATAGCATGGGCCTCTTTAATTTTATTTCAATTTCATATCACTGCTACTGCATGAACTGATATTTACTCTCTTGAAAGCTAGTTTTGGCCCCACAGCATTTGAACACAGTACCCACCTTTAGGGGTAAGTTTTGGGCAACAGAGCTCTGTTAAATAGTAAGTACTAATTAGTAATAATGGATTGCAAAAGTAAAAAAAATATAGGACATGACTTTTGAGGGAATATATAAGGGTAACTTTTTCGGTTTGGTTGGCAAAAAAAATAAATCGGTTTGGTCAAAGCTAGACATGACGCGTTTTGCAATTAGTGAAGGACACTAATATGTTCTTCTCGTTCTGAGACGCTTTGGACCCAGCAATCTGTCTATGTCGAAGGGAAATTTAGGTCGATTGGAGTTAGGTACATCTTCTTGTGCATTTATTATTAATATATGCATATATCTATTGACAGATAGCATATCTAATTATTTATTATGAGAGGCCAGCATCTCATTTGAATCCTTTAAGTTTCAACCTTTACTTTTTTCTGTTCTGCTTTTGAATTATCTTCTTGCAATGCATCCATAATTTGAACATTTTCCTTGGTTTTCCTGACAGGTATACTCAACTTCTATATTTAATAATATATTTTTTAATCATTCCGCTGTTTTATTTGTTGCTTCCTTCAATAATGTTATCAAGTGAGACTCAATATTGGGTTAAAGCCTTCAAAGACCTGTAACAAAGAACAAATTATTCTTTCACCATACTCATGTAAACATGAGACGGATTTATATAAAATGATCCTTAAAACGTACAAGCATAAAAAGCTTAGTCTTGTTTAGCAGAAACAGAAGTGAGATACTTGTGGCTACCTAGCAGAGAGAGTAGTCACTGATTCACAGTTCACAGTATAATGGAGGGAATCACTTGTGGTGCTATTCGTCCTTGGATGGTCCATCTCCATAGCTAAACATTCTTGTAGTTCTTGCAATACGTAACTTATTTCTGGCCTTAGGGTTGGAGTTGGTAAGATACATGCCATGGCTACTTCAACAGCTTTCCATGCTGATGTAACACCAAATTCTCCAGCTAATGTTGGATCAACAATGCCCTCAATATCCCCACATTCAATTTTCGGATGAACCCAATCAAGAATGAAACTAACATTCTCAGGTCCTTTCTCTATTGGAGGATGACCAGTTATCAGTTGAAGGAGAATCATCCCAAAACTATAAATATCACTTTTCTTATTTAGGTTTCCAGATCTCTGAAATCTGCAAGGATAACATGTAATTAGGTCAAACGGATTTTTTTTGGTTATTATAACAGGTAGGGTTTAAAAAAATTTTAATTAATGAATTGAAACCAAATATTACGTTGTCCGTAGTTTTTTTCTTTTTTGGACAAATTTCCTTAGATTTTTTCATTTAGATGACAAACACTTACTCTGGATCAATGTAACCAGGTGTACCAGCAGGTTGAGTTGATAGATGTGAGTCTGTTTCATTTGTGAATGCTCTAGACAGTCCAAAATCAGCAATCTTGGCTAGCTTATATTTGTTCAATAAAATGTTGGATGGCTTCAAGTCTCTATGAATTATAGGATTCTTACAACCATTATGAAGATATTCCAATCCTGCAACCCCACTGGACTATATAAGAAAGAGGTAAATATAATAAAGCCTGTTAGGTAGAGAAAAGATCAACATATGGTAGTTTGGTCACCTTTTGCTGCATCATTTGCGACTTGAAGTCTCTCATTCCACTTCAAAACATTTGAGTTTTTCTCTGCAAATATAAATTTGCCTCTGAGCAAGGTGCTTCAGGATCAAAAAGCATGTATATATATAATTATGAAGCAATTTAAAGTGTTTGACCGGCCAGATTTAACCATAGCAAAGTAAGTGAGTGATTTGAGTTGCAGTATTTACTATCTTGCCTTTATTATCTATTAATGAGATCACATTATCTATATAAATGTGTTTAATGCATGAAAAACAGACTAAAGTCACACCATCAGTGATGCCACAGGGTTTTCTATGTAAGACAAACCCGATAATAGTTGGCCGAGGTCCCCATTATCCATGTATTCATAAATCAATGCTTTTATGTCATTTTCATGACAATATCCAACAAGCGAAACCAAATTTCTGTGATGAATAACCGCTAAGAGTTGAACCTACAAGTTAAAAGGCTCCATGATCATAAATGAATAATATAATAGTTGGCCACTCAATTTGCATATATTTGAAAACATTGGAATTTCATGTCTAACCTCTGATTCAAATTCCTTGTACCCTTGCTTTGATGATGGAGAAAGTAATTTTACTGCAACTTGAGTATCATCTTCTAAAGTGCCAAGATAAACTTTCCCAAATCCTCCTCCTCCGATGATAGTTTTGAAATTGTTGGTGATGCGGAGAACTTGTAAGTAAGAAAATTCTCGACTCCTTTGTTTTAGAATTCCCATCTTTTGGGATTTGATTGACAAAACTGCATCATTATATTAAATGTGAGATAGAAGTGTATCAAAAAATTTACTGCGCAAGTACCATCCTATGTCTCAATGGTTATTCAACGTGAGATAGAACAAGCATGGATGAAAGGTTTCTAACTTCTCATCTCAGCGATGTTACAATTGCAAAACACATCTGTGCTTGTAACTACTATGTGCAAATATTCAGGAAACATTCGTGTTATATATACCTTGTCTTTTCTTTCTGAGTCTCCAAATTATCAAAGAAAGAATGATAATTAGGACCAAAACTGCAATTGATGCAATAAGAGGAATTACAAACTTGTGTTCTTTGCATGAATTTTTCTGACAGAGGCCTGGATTGCTGGATACACTGTTAAAATAAGAAGATAAAACATTAGAGAGTTTTGAGCAAATGAAGAGAAGTAATGACATGTACACTGCGTTTTCACAGATATCGCAGCTAAAACTGGGGAGTCATGAGGGTGTACGTACAACAACAACAACCAATCATGAGGGTGTACATGAACACAAGAATATTATTCACAGACAAAATTAAAGAGAACTACTTAACCATTTTTCCCGGAAAAAAATGTTATAAGCAAATATAATGCAAGATTGACAGACTGAATAAACCAGAATCTGAATTTGGTATTGAAGGCAAGCACACCTTAGCTGCAGATCAGCCTTTTCCCTCAAAGCCTTTGGAATTGAACCTGTGAGCTTGTTTCCAGTCAAATTACTGAAACATGAATTTTGTTTTTGAGATACTTTACTTCACATATCAGAGCATGAAAATTAAGATGTATATTGAGGTCTCACAGGACTTTCAAATTAGGAAGATCAGCAAGAAATTCTGGCAGTTGTCCGATCAATTCATTATTTGACAAATCTCTACCAAAGAAAAAAAAAGACACTAATGTTAATACCAAAATATTTAATAAGAACCAAAGAGTTGAATGTTAGGATCTGTCCCCTGTTAAAAACTTACAAGGACTCCAAGTTCTGCAGATTGGCAAATGAAGGAGCTATCTGTCCTGTCAATTTGCTTAAGCTTAGGTTCCTACGATTTTGTCACCAAAACAAATCAAATAAGGAAGAGAAACCTGAGGAAATTTATAACACATACAC